ATGGATGGTTGAAATGGATAGAATGGTGAAATGAGGAAGGGGTGGATGGATGGATAGATTAGACCCACTTCTCCACCATCTTTTTCCCTCTACGAGACTAGTGATTATGGATTTCAAAAGATCATAAATAGATGGGACTAAGATATATAAAAAATAAAATAATTTTGGCCCTCACCTCTGTCGGTACCTCCGTTACCATGACCAACAATATAAGTGGTTCTAACCAGTTTTCGCTGTAATTCGGGAAATGAATTAAGGTACTCTGCTAGACATACTGCCGTACAACGCCTCTTGACAAGAACCAGAGCTAAAGATCTTTGTCGATCCTCGTTTTCACCCCATTCAAGTCTCAGCAACAGTCCTAGCAACTCAGCTACGCCAGAGGCCATTTCACTATGATAGTCAGTTGACCCTTTTTAGAGGAAAAAACACACGATATAAAAACTACTGGTCTATTACAATTGCAAACGGGTCCTTTGCAGGATAATCATTATCGCTGAATTTCACTTATTTAAACGAATTGTTGCTGAAATACCAAAGTCTTTATATGATCAATCTGCTTTTCCATTAATTGTGGCATACTTTCGATATCAAGAAACTAAGAATCTTATACTAAGTTTGTTTGTCAAACAGCAGAGCCACTTTTCAAGGGATCGTGAGCTGAATTAATTCATTTTTTCTAGATGATTTGCAAGAAGAAAAAAACTTCCTGGGAAAAAGTGTTACACAAACCTGCAATACAACGCTGCTGCAAGTAAGTCCTGATTCTCACACACGGTAAGCCTTGATTCTCAGCCCAGTCAAATCCATGTGGACAGTTTCCCTGCAGAAGCTCCACCATACGATAAAAAGCGACTTTCTCTCCACACTCCTGAAGAGTGCAAATACAGTCACAAATTATCTCAAAATGCACCAATGAGTTTAGTGCATTAGCGCTCTCTGACTTGGGAGAATTTAGGAGATTATCAATCACGCCGAGTATTGGAAAAATATCATCCTTGGACAAGATGCCTCCAGCTGAAGGTTGGAACACATCTTTGTACTCCTTGAAATCACTCAGTCGGGCAGCAAGGTTAAAGCACTTGGTAGCATATTCCATCAGCAATGTCAGTAAGCTCTCTTCTGTTCTAGTGTACTCGGCACAGTAGCACATCATTTCTGTTTGGCTTGTCTTCTCCGTTAATTCTGGGATATTTTCAGTTACGGTCAGCAGAGAAGCACCACCAAGGTTTGCAAGCAAACGTTGCATCTTCTTCAGCGTTCTTTCCAAAGTGGGTTCCCCAGCGGGAGATGCTGTAAGCCCTAGGATCTTGGGTCTCTGATATGCTTGTGTGTCATCTATCAGGTAGTAATCTCGAATAATAACGTTGTAGGGATGGTCTTTGTTGCAATGATGAGATTCGTCCAGGACAATCAAAGCAGCGTCTTCAAAACGCAAGGTACCATTGTTGATATGATTCCTATAACAATCAGCAGTCACAACGAGGATGTCATGATTAAATATAGGAACACCTTGTTCTAGTTTTCGCATCTCACCACAAATAGCACCGATGCGAACGGGTCTCAATGCCATCCCATAATTTACCGCTTGTCCACCATTCAAGCTTTGCTTGGTGGCATTCTGCCACTCATCTTTCGCAGACACGGGGACCTGCAGATTTTTCAGTTCATTTTTGAGGTACTCACTCTGCTGGATGACGAGTAAGACACGATCAACAAGGAAGATGATCTGACGAGTGGGATTTAAGACCAGCAGATGAGCAACAACAAGTGCTGCAACAAGTGTCTTTCCAGTTCCAGTCGGGAGAAAGCAAACAGCAGAATCATTAGCCATGGTTTTGTAATACAATTCTATCTGATAACCAAACGGAGCAGTTTCTGTATTTATTTGTGGATTGAATCCTTCATGAGGAACTTGTAAGGATGGATGATGACGGACTGGAGCTTTTTGAGATTTGGCAACAGTCTGCTCGTGTCTTCCGCTAGTAAAATGCTCGTTGGCCTGAGATTTTGAGTTAAGATGGACCTTGCAGTAATCACAAAACTTCAAATACGGTTCCGAGGTCACTTTTGCGATTTTGTTTTGATGCTTTGTGCTCTGAAAATGTTCTTCCGATTGCTGCTTGGAAATAAACGAAATCTTACAAAGGCCGCATGATTTGATGCTTCCAGAGTCATTGTCAGAGTTCAGACTCCTAGAACGTGGTTTTAGGGCTTCTGCTTGTCTGTCCAAGTCACTTCTGCTTCGATTCCTTCCAGAAAGTATTGCCTCGTTCAAACTTTTTCGTCTTGAAGGTTCCTTAAAGTTTCTTTCCCCTCCAATCACACCAGGATCTTTTCTGCTCTTTAGTGACCACACAGGAGGTTGGTACTTGACTCGCTGGATCATCCCAGCTCTTTCCATGGCATATAACGCAGAGTTGACATCTCGTTTTGTTGTCAAGCCAATAGCCTTTGAGATCTCTAGCGTCGTGAGTGGTCTGTTGTATTGCGTCATGACCTCAACGATGCTTTTTTGCAATRGATTCAACTCAAGATTCGAAGAAAGCTCTTGGAAGGATTCCGCTAGTGATTCCTCTGGGTCAAAATTAGAATTACAGTCAAAGCCATGACTGTTATTACTGAATCTTGGTCGCGTTGATGATCTTTCGGTATTGCGACCATTCAGGATTGTATCGGAGCATTTCCGGCGGGGCCCGTTGGAAAACCCCGAGAGAGAGTGCTGTTTCGCCAACGATGGTGATGAGCGAGTTCTGTTTATACAAACTCTTGATCCTCCATCAGTTTCATTGCTTTGCAAATCTACCCATTTAGATGTGTTTGATGTTAGTAATTCCTGATTAAATAAATTAGTCGCAGACAACTCGATGTCCACTCCGTTATGTCCTGTTTTCATCCACGTTAATGGCTCCGAGGCTACACATTGTATCACCCCATTCTGTTCGAGATCTTTCAAAGCCAAGAGAACACATCTTGGTGAGGTAACTGCTGGCAAACTCTTGATAATATCAACGGAGGTACAACATTTTTTGAATGACACGATTTGTGCCACAAGAGCCTTCGTATCTGAATTGCGATTGGAGTCACAAACAAGTCCAGCCGTTTGCGGAGTTTTAGCTTGGTGTTGAAAATGATCAATTGGATGGACACATTCTGAAATGCAGCCCAACTTTTCCAAGCCAAGTGTTGTGGGCTTCAGACATGACTCTTGCTTCTCCCATTTACTCATAAATGGAAAAACGTGGTTGAGTACACCAGGATGAGGTGGTAGCTGTTCATCCATAGGATCACCTAGAAAGTACAAAAGAAATGCGAGCAATGAAAAACCAAGGCTAAATGCAGGAAAACCTTATCGTCAAATGAGCCTGGTAAACTTAATTGGCTTTTCTTTCAATGGATCACTGGACTGAAATAAAATATGCAAAATAAAACAATGCTGGCTGTTAGGTCTGATGAGGTAGCGAGGAATACTTTTGTCCTGCCGAGATAAAAATTCGGTAATAAAAGCAGTAAGGATTTGACTTTCAAGACGAGAGAGGTGTCTTAGCAGGAAAACACAACAGACTTCCGCCTATGAGGCACATACAAAATGACAAATCATGCCCAAAAATTAAAATTCCCGTTGATTCAGGAAGGAATTTCGGGGTATTTCTGGAAATTTTATGATCTACCATTAAAAAAATCTCAATCCAAATTAACTTGGGCTAAATGAAATAAGAAGCGTTTTTCAGCTTGACTTCAAAAAACAAAAGCGACCACTTTCTTTGTTTTGTCAAAACAATAAAAGCCAGATGTTTGCAGAATACTTAGAGACCTTACTTCCTAGAAAGACGACTTGTGTAAGAATAATGGCAAGAGTCTGCAATTACATATACCTTCAGCAGAAAATAAAATATCGAAATTTGAATTTTTGGCTGCATTTCAAATGACTGTGGCATTGCGTGATACTATGATGATGAACTAAATCATCTAAGTTTTTGCAGTATTGTTTATCCTAAACATCTCTTGTCAAACTTGAGCGTCTTAAGAGGCCTTAATGCGCGTTAAATCTCAATATATAATGCGATAGAAGAACGAATGTAAAAGTGACGATAGTTTCCTAAGTAAAGTCTACGGCCGGATTAAGTCAAGGTCCCTATTTTAACTCCGACAATTCTGGAGAAAAATATTGAAATTCTGTTTGTCTCATATCTTAAGATAACCACAATTCTTATTTCAACTGTTTCTCTAACATGTCGCCTACACGTACCTTAGAAACCTAGTAATAACGGAGTAGTGGAATGAACAACGAAACAAGACCGTCGCTCACGAAGCTATACTACCGAGTTCTGCAGAGGTCACGCCTTAAGTGAGTAAATATCAAGGACGCTGCCACGTCTTTTCTACGAAACTTGTTGCTTCTCGGAAATGTTCGATAATAACAAAAGCTGGGGATTGCAGACACGGAAGTAGGGACTGTTTCCTGTTGACAACATCAAATGTTGTTGGAAGATTTCCATTGATCACTACCACTTTTTGAGAATTCTCCATTCTGGCCATTAATCTGTTTATCTAATAGTTATAACGAAATTATTAATCTATGAGGCCTAAGGTTTCAAAAAAGGATTATTACATTTTGCGCGGTTAACCAAATTCAATCATACAACTTTCAATATAACTTTGTTTACATTTTGGAAACAATTAAGTTTATTTCAATATTAGCGACAAAATTACATTTAGGTACCTAGTAAAGTAATCAACGAAAGTTTTTACGAAAGTTAATGTCATTGATATATTAAAAAAGGTTGAATGAACTAGAAACTAGAGAAATTAAAGAAGTTAGATAACACAATATTACAACCGGAAGTTGTTCGGCTGTTTCCGAGAATTTCACTATCATTATGCAAATGTGACCAGTTCTTGGAACTCGTGGACCCTCTTTCGCTGTATTTTATTATGCATCAATTATTTAGCGCGTTTTATGGCTTTCAAAATATTACTAAGTCTAGAAAAAGGTGTAAGATATGATGAGTTGCACCATAAATAAAGGTGTTTCTTGGTAGAAAAATGGTTTCTGTAACTAAGTGTTGTGTACATAAAGAACAGTTGGTGGTCCTGGTGTATGTAACATTCAATTCCTCGGTTGATTTCGTGCAAACAAAGTAAACGATATATTCAACCAAGTGCTTTTATACCTTATGTAGAAGAAAATAAAAATATGAGAGTTTAGCGTACTAGGCATGTTTATGAACCGCGCAAAGATGGTATCGCAGGCGAAGTCAAGATATCGCAGCGGTCCCGATAGGCAAACTCATCTTGTACAAAAAAAGTCTTCAAAGGCAATTTGGTGAAGTATTCTTGAAAATGACATGGATTCAGGCATTTAACTGTTCCAATGCTTACGAAAATTGAATAGCAGTACGGTTTGATATCTCAGTTCTAATAGCTGTCTTGCGCAAATTGCAGTACTACCTACCAGTATGTTGAACTAGATCAGTCTCGCCTTCAAAGTTGTGGAACTACTTGCGCCTAGCCTTCACATGCAGCCCATAAACAGGCAGCCCAAAATTAACACACAGTGACAAACACATAAACTGCTGGGATATCTGTTTGTGAGCCCTGTTATTTGCGATACATGTGCTAATAAAGTCAATGATATAAGTTTAGGGACATTCATGCTTCCATGCAAAATTACCTTGAATTTTTACGACTGCCGCCGGTGACCACCTAAATGTTCATAATAACAAGGACTTTCAAAGCAAAACAAAAAACAAAAAACAAGGACTTTCAAAGCCAAGGATTGGCTTCTTAGAAGCCAATGAGGTCACATAGAAGAGTCATAAGAGACATATACAAGTTTTCCATGAAATAATAATACATCATTGAAAGACGATACCTTATGAAGTGTACCGGTTTCCGCATACCTATGTATTAATACTTATTAGTGACTTTTGAATTGTTATAACCAAAAAAATTCCGCATGCCATCGTGATTTAATTTAACAGAATTACTGTAAAGGAAAAACTGGACAATAAAAGATGGCAACTCTTCTTTATTTCAATTTACAAAGTTTTGTTTTGAAACAACAATGAAGAAAGGTTGTAGGACTAAACCTGCACTGCCAGGTGGCACAAATCCAGGGATATTGAGTCGATAACGTTAAAGAGTCCCGAAACAAGTAAGGAACATCTGTCAAATATTTTATGCCTTAAATGTAATCATCAAAATGTTAAGCTGTAAAATAAGTCTATAACCGATCATGATATTTTTTTATTAAAAACGTCAAAACGAAACTGAAACGACTTGTACATTGTGGTCTCAAAATGTCGAAGACGTCGGTCCTATTTTTTTAAACATTTTTATTCTGCACTTCTTGTTCAATAAGTAATCATGAAACGAATATTACCAGTATTAGACTTAATATCACTAAAGTCACTATATTTTAGCTTAGTGTCTATAAGCCAGTATCATTTTCAGTCTGAGTCTTTCTTCCGTGATAAATATGGGGTTGCTGCAAAACTGAAAAATGATGACACGCAAAAGTAGAGATTGTTTTGAAAGATGCTCAGTAGAGTTTAGACATCCACAAGTCCCTGTTGTTGCCGTATCTGTACCATTTTTCAACATTTCTACTGATCTAATGCCAGTTAGGAGTTGATATTTAAGTCTAGATTATTTCTTAGTGTAAAGATAGATGAAGCTAAACCCGAGAGGTTTGGCAGTCATTAAACTAGACCGTTTATTGTACAGGTTGTTTAGAGAGATCTATGTTGGAACAAATTTCCATTGGTACACAGTAATAAAATCCATTATAATTACAAGACAAGCTACCAGTACACTGCTAAGAATGATGTTAGAAAACATTAGTTTCTTTATTATTATTTGTACAGCTTTAACTAACAGGCATTTGATTAATCGACTCAGTGGACGTGACGTAAGCGGTAGGAACAACGGTCCAGCAACGTTATCTTCTTTTATTCACAAGAAAAAGTGGTAAAAATTTCCAATATAAATGAAAAATAGTTGATAATCTTTTAAAAAAAATTACTTGAAGCCAAAATAACACGTTTTATATAGACTTTGGTCCTTGAAAAGTTGCCGGGAATTTCAGTAGTGATTTTCCAATATGAAAGCTATTACCGTAGTCAATGAAGAGTTAGCAACATTTTGGTACCTTTTTCTTCACAGAAAAATGGTAAAAAAAAATCAATATGAATGAAAAAGGAGATGATAGTTTTCGAAATAAAGTTAACAAACCTGGAACAAAATAACACATTATGTACAGACTTTGGTGCAAGAAAATTTAGTTATTGTCCTTGAAGTTCTTCTCCAAAGAAAACAGGTGAAAAATTCAATGTAATGAGATGATAATTTGTCTAAATGAAATAATTATAGACTTATTAAACAAATATATATTCATACAAATTGCTATGTATAGACTTTGGTGACAGTATAATCGAAAATTTAGCAATTTTCCACGATTATGCTACTACTGTGGTCTCTGAAGTGTCATCACCTTTTGCCACAAGCGACTTAAACATCGTTTCAGTAATGCCAAAAAAATTAAGATTTGTTATGACAACTTTGATTAATACTTTCTTAAAATTAAAACTTCCCATCTATCGAGTAAGTAGAATCAAAATATATAAGTCCCCATTCCTGAATCAATCGTTAAACGAAAGAAACAGAATCGTTAAACTATTAATAAGCTACGATGACTTGCACAACGACTTCAGCTCAAGAAAATCCCGTTATAAAACAGTAATTATTAAATCCTATCGTCATGGGAAATCACTATACAATTAATGAAGAATAAGGCTTAGACAACATAATATCTTTCCTAGTGTTATGCTAAAATGGTGGCCTTCGTAAAAATGATGACTAATATGGTTAAGACTATGAATACCACTGCGAAAATTTTCAACTTTTCAAAAATGTTATCGCCACAAGAAAACTCAGTATTAATTCTAAAGCAGAAGTCTCAAATATTATGATAGCTTTCCTACTTTACCAAAATCATGGCACGAATTCACTTAATATACTTTCTGGGAATGTTTTAGTTTTAACTTGCTGCACAGAAGGGGGTCCGAACTATGTGTACAAACGCTGTTCATTTACTTTAAATCTTAATTTAGAACTACTTTTGTCGCTTTAATGTTATCTAGAAACTTGTAAACTTTCCTAAAATTGAGATAGACTAACAATCAAAATCGAAAAATTGATCAGTATCGGCAAATAATTCAAAATTTTCCAAGATGTGCAACAGATTGAGAGGCTCAATTTCAACCAACTTATCTTCAATTTTCATGCATGCCCAGATCTCAAAAGTTAAAGGAGCTTACTTCACTTTCCATGAACAATATTTGAAAATTATCATTCTAGTATAAATTATCGATATTAATATCCAAATTTTCCAAATTTCATATTTTTTTATGTACGCCATAAAAATGGCGGACGCTATCAGTTTACATAACTTACCATAGAAAGAAGGTGACCACGAACTTGCTCGTCAAATTAACTGTATATAAATATCAAGGTTAACCAGAAGAGTACATATAAAACTTGCTGAGAAAAGAGTTGATCATAAGCTTGCCTTTTCAATCGAACTTGTTTCAGTCTTTGACTTAAAGAGAGGTTTTAGCCGTTTAAACCTATTTGTTTGATCGCCACAAAAACAGTTCATATAGTTCCACTGCATGAGCTAGTCACACTAAAATTAGAAAATCACATCATTACTTAATGATTAAATAACGATTTCCTTAGCCTGTAGCACTAATCTTTTTTGGGGGAAAATTTGAAGGTATTCTTATTTTAAAGTCACAAAACGCCACAAGTGTTTCCCCGATTTTTTTCAATGATCGACACGTTCAATGTATCAAAGATGGCGGTCCATGAGTTTTAAGCTTCAATAATTTTGTTGCAGCCTGTGTTAAGAAAAAAGGCAAGAAACTGATGCATGGTAGGTAATGCACTCAAATGAGATAAAGAGGACTCAAATGATGTGCCTAGACTTCTTGACTGTTTATTACGAGAAAAATCGATGACAAATAAGTTGTTTCTAGAGAAAAACCCTCGATGGCAAGGAATGACAAGAAAGGGTACACATCTTTCCATACAAGGAAAATGTCCCAAAACTAACTGTACTGCAACGATGAACTCGTAATTTCTACCGATTAAATCGAGTATGTTTGGAAAAGTTTTGCCTTACATCTAAACGTAGCCGAAATCTTCGTTAGAAAAAGAAAAATTCGGTCCCCACCATTCCATAAATACCTAGATACGCTAAAAGTTTATATTCTTGGAAAACGGTCCTTTTCGTGCAGATCTATGTCAAAGTTGAATAAAGTAAAAAGAACAAGGAACAATTAAAAAAGAACTGAATAACGAGCAAGCAGGTAAATCACTGATCAACAGTTTGAAATATTTATATCATTAAAACTAAATTTCACCGCGGAGAGCAGGCAAAACTATTCAAAACGGCAAATGTGTCCTAAGGTAAAAAGAACGAGGATGAAAAGAACAATTAAAAAATAACTGAATAACGAGCAAGCAGGTAAAGCCACTGATCAACAGTTTGAAATATTTATGTTATTAAAACTAAATTTCACCGCGGTGAGCAGGCAAAACTATTCAAAACGGCAAAAGTTTCCTCGTGGCGTGGCTTCAGCAAATCTGCATGATGGTCTTACTTTAGATGTCTTTTGCGAAGAAGTTTTCAAAAGAAAAGCAACTCGAAACAAAAATTATTAATAATCAAAATAATAAACTGAATAAAGATAATGATTCTATCAAATGCAAAGCTGTTGTTTTTAACAGAACGCGAAAAGGTTTTAATTTCTCAGAAAAATGGGAGAAACTGAAGCCGCGCATTTTTTTTGCTAGAAACGTTACGACATAAAAGCCTAAGATGATAAATAAAAAATACATTTTCTTAATTTTTTTTTCTTGGAATTTCAATTATTCCATGTGTTATATTAACATATCCATCGTAGATTCGTGGCAAGAGTAGAATTGCTGGAGTTTTGCGGCAGAAATTTGGACACCTCAATGATGCCATCGATGCACATAAATTTGCCTCCAAATCCTTCATTTCTATATGAAAAATCAGCAAGATTAAAAGACAGATGTTCATTCAACTATCAATTTGTATGCAATACCTTGGTTTTCTTCGAATAAAGTGTGCTGAAAATTGCTCGTCCAAGTTCTGGCTCCACTCACGTAAGGTTGTCTGTTTGAGAACATGTTGTCCACGAAGGCTAGGATAGCCCTAGCAGCACCTTCACTTCCAAAAATCAACATCTTTAGGCAGATTCTCTATTTATATGCCTAATGTTTTCAACGTAGTTTACACGTGGTATATATTACTTTCTTATTTCAGTTCTTTTCCAAGAAATACACAGGAAATGGATCAATTTTGGTTGGTCTTGACTGAGCGTTGTGAATGCTTGTCAATCAAGACAACACCATATATGGACAAGAGGTGGATAGGAGCGCGTAAAAGAGAAGAAATATGAACTATAGACATTGTCATTGAAAAATGCACCGACAATCGTATTTTGAGCTGTAATCTGTAGTTATTTTTAAAGGTTAAAATTAAGAATTTGGAACAAAACATTTTTACTCAAATATATTATTGCAGTGGCCACTTAACATTTTTTTGAGAAAAAATCATTTTCAAGTCTCGCATTTAGTGATCATGTAGAGTAGTGTGCTGTGTGTCGAAAATAACGAAATCTTAAAGTAAATCTAAGAGATGCTAATCTTCTCAGCCATCCACTTTTACTTTTAGAAAGCTTATAAGGCTTTCAAAATAATAAAATAATAAGAACTACTTAAAAAACAGAGTTTCAAAAGAAGATTGGTAACTACATATTTACGCAAAGGATTGTGGGAATGAATTTAAAAAGTTCCGCCATCTTGTATCTCATATTGCACAACACAAGGTATTTACCGCCTTTGAAATATCAAAAAGTCGACGTTTTGAAAATAATGATGATAGCAATAAGTATATTCACATAATCCGAAGCCTTAAATATCGAATTCTATCGTAAATATAAAGTGAAGTCTATTCAAGAAAAAAAAATCAGTGCAAGGATCTTTCACCTTGCCGATACAATCTAGGTTAACCATCTCTGTAATACATGGAAGTAACACCCTCAAGTTTTGCATAAAGTTTTCTATAATTTCCTACCGAGATTTTCGTTAACAAATGAAATAAATATTAGTCTAATGGCAGACATTTGTTCTATTTTTCTTCTATTTTGTCTCATTTCCGTTTCATTTTATATTTTAGTATTTTAGAAAAGCTATAAATTTTAATTATACATGTGACTTTACCGTGTCCTGTTTCAGGGTTCCGGAAAAGCTTTTTTCTTTAGTTTTATGGGAATTTTGTGATGCTGATTTTGTTGTTTTTGCGGTTCTCATTTTTTCACAGCTGCACGAGTTAAATACCGTAACAAAAATTCCTAGCGCGTTTCCCCCCAATTTTATTATTACATCAACTGCTCCAAACAAAAGGTGGATAACTGAGAGTAATTCAATATTTTTTAGAAGCTTGAAACCTAAAAATAGGAGTATAATATTTCAATCACAAAATATTACAAAATCCCCACAAAAAAGCCAATGTTTCCTTTCTTATCTAGTCATCGTAAATACTAAAGAAAGACCCTCACGTAGTGCAAAATGAACGTCATTTTCTTATCGCTAATCATTTTTTTTAATTAGCTTGCTTATTTCGTAATACTTACCATTTAATGAATTTCAAATGTCGGATCCGCCATATTGGAATGGCCTTAGCACAGGTACCCCACCAAATAAAATATTGAATAAAACTTGCGCACAGGTGATGCGCACGAACGTACACATCGATATGAAAAATCTTGACAACATCGATAAAACTTTCTAAAATCTGGAATGAAATCTAATATCGATAATATTTTATATAAAATTCTCGTTTGATTTACAAGGGAAGCAACCAATGGCTAACAAACCTGTGGCCCTCTTTCTATGATCGAATTTGAATTTAAATCCTGATTTTGTAAGGAATGGATCCGAAGAACCTGAAGAAAACCCCTCGAAGAAAACTCCTCGGGAGAATACCAACAAGCAATGGCCGCGATATTCAGCATACTCTCTGATGAAAAATAATTCAGCAATATTTCCAGGTTCCATTTTATTATCTTAAATTCRAAACGGAGCCTTGTTTTCGTTAACCAAAGATTACTATTTTAAGCCTCCTCAAATGACTAGCTTTCCACTTAGTATAATTACACCTAGTCCTCTCCATTGCTGTTGTCTTAGAAGTGTCCGATATCCAATCGGCATGTGGTTAGGTCTTTAATATTCACACCTGTTTGATTGTGATCTACTTCCTTGTTTGTTTGTCGGTCTTTATAATACACTCTACAAAATTACTTGATTCTGATTGCATAAGGGAAGTACAATTAAACTCCAAATTGTACTCTTTAGAGTCGCAATTAAGTTGCTCTTTTTTTTTCTTTTTTCAAAAAAAATCGCACAATCTTCTCTTACAATTCGGAATCTATAGATACTCGTGATATTTAAAGTTCTCAAATTGAACTCGCCTAAAGCCTCTTCCAATTTTTCAAAATATCACTCGTACCTATAAATTCCGAATTGTACTCGAGATCGTGCGATTTCCTATATAAATTTATAAATTAGACTTTATCTTATGACATTAATAAGGATTCCAAATCACCATGGGCCTTAAAATATCTCACAAATAATGGAAAAGTTTTCATTATTTGAATTTTACTAGTCGTGTGATTTTTTATTTTATTTTTCATTTTTTATTTGAAGTGCAGTGCTTTTAATGACAATTATGGTGGAAGGTTCTAGAACTTTCGTTAAGCTAATTTCTCAAAATGCTCAAATGATGAGAAACGAATTATATTTTCCCTGCATCCTTTGTAGTGGCTCAATTTAAAAATGCGGTTTTTTTGTTTTTGTTTTTTTAATGACCGCTTCGTCGGTTTAGTAATCGTGGCGTCTTATCCCCAAGCTTCCGGATGGTATCGCAACAGGGGAACACATTAGTTAAGTCAACCGATTTATTCGCTTTATATTGGGAAAGGAAATATAAGAGTTTAACCTTTTCGAGAATATACACCTATTTCTATCTGAAATCTGAGACCGAAAGGAATTGTGGGTTGTAAGCTGTAAATTATTTGTGGTTTTAATTAGTAGTTCGCAAAAAGTTTATATCTTGATATACTAACTTTGAGCGATGACCTGCGCTGGCAAACTATCTGGGTAAGTGTATATTGAATTTTTAACACTCAGTCCCCCACGATTCCAATCGGTCTCAGGTTTCTGATTTCAGATATCCAACCGACAACGTTTTTTGAAATAGTTGTACCCTAAGACATATCAATTGGAATTTAAGAAACTTGATTTTTTTGAAGGAGGAAAACCGGAGAAAACTCTCAGAGAAAGGAAGAGAATTAACAACTAACTCAAATTACATGACAACGGGAATCGATATCGGGAATCAAGCCCCGATTGCACCAGCCATCCATGCTTCCTTAGTAGCTATGCTATGATGGAATGGTGCTCCGAAAACTGTATATTTGCTTTCAAACCCAATCTTTCTCTAGCAAAGAAAATAGCCTTATCGGTGTTTGAATATATCATATTTAGATGCAACACAACGAAAAATAGAAAAGTAAGAATTATTAAGAGGAACTTCTCTTACTATAATTAATCATTTAACTAAGGTAGCAAAGGAAGTGTTCTCCTTTTTCATTCTCAGCAGTGTTCATATTACGCAGTACAACTGTAATTTAAAGGTTTAAGGAGACTGAGAAATATTAAAAGTAGAAGATATTTGATTAGAACTTGTGTTACTTTTTCCTCCGATATACCATCCCATCAATGGGAAATAGTGACACTCCTACTAATGCTACTGCAGTTGATCACGTAACAAGATACAGGGGAGGAGGAGAGTAAGTTACTCTGTGATGGACAAGCATCCCATCCAGGGGTAATAGTGATATTCTAGTCACTTCATACTACTGCAATTAATCACATATCAAGATAAAGGAAGGAGGGTAAACCCTGTGATAGACAAGCATCCCATCTAGGGGTAGTAGCGATACTCATATTCACTTCATACTACTGCAGTTAATCACATAGCAAGATACAGAAAGAAGGGTTAGCCCTGTGATGGACCAACATTACATCCAGTGATAGTAGTGATACTTCTAGTCACTTCATGCTACTGCGGTTGATCAAATAGCAAGATAAACGGAGGAGAATGATGAGGGTAAACCTGTGATGGACAAACATCCCATCTTGGGGTAATAGTGATATCCTAGTCACTTCATACTACTGCGTTTGATCACGTAGCAAGATAAAGGGAGGAAAAGGATGAGGGTAACCCTGTGATGGACCAACATCACATCCAGGGATAGTAGTGATACTTCTAGTCACTTCATGCTACTGCGGTTGACCAAGTAGCAAGATAAACGGAGGAGAATGATGAGGGCAACCCTGTGATGGACAAACATCCCATTTTGAAGTATCTTTTAATCGACTTGTTGAACATAACCTCAACTGGAAGGATATAGCGTTTGCATTCCGCCATGAAAATTATCTTCCAAACCCAACAGTTAAAACTAAAGATCTAAAAAAAACTGGGTGTTGACAATAAAATGTGATCTTTACAACATAACATCCTGTAAAGATAAGTATATCATTTAATTGGTAAAAAAAAACACTCGAAATTAGTCCAGATTTGTTCAAAAGAGCTGGGAAAGAATGCCAGGAAGGCTGATTCTAGACAAGATAAGAGATCGAAAGAAATCAACTTTTGTGGTGTTTGTTTCCTGTTATTTGTTTTTTGCTTATACGAAAATATGAGGAAGTCCTGATTGATGTATATTGTGTATAACTCATATAATATTTCCCTGAAATTGGGTATGGGGATTTTCGTGGTTCTTCTTTCTGAGAAAAAGCCGGTTTTCTCCCAGCTTCTGATTTTGCTGAATACGACAAAACTCTTTGAGGAAAAACGTCGTTCCTAATCAGCTCGAGAGGTACTTTTCAGTTTTCCCTGTTCCTTTAGTATCTACATAAGGTCAGCTTCAACCACACCACCATCATTGAACAAACTCTTCTTTAAAAAAAGCGGTTTTCTCCCAGCTTCTGATTTACTGAATACAACAAAACTCTTTGAGGAAAAACTTCGTTTCAAATCAGCTCGAGAGGTACTTTTTTCTCCTGTTCCTTTAGCATTCAAATTATAAGTCGGGTTCAACTATTGCACCATCATTGAACAAACTCTTCTTTTAAAAAAATTGGTTTATTCCCAGCTTCTGATTTACTGAATACAACAAAACTCTTTGAGGAAAAACTTCGTTTCAAATCAGCTCGAGAGGTACTTTTTTCTCCTGTTCCTTTGGCATTCAAATTATAGGTCGGGTTCAACTATTGCACCACCATTGGATCTCTAATAGACAATTTTTTTCATTACTTCAGTCATTTCAATTCCACGAATCTTTAATGCGTACCTGACTTCTATCATATACTAATTTACAGTAAACATCTCCTTTCTATTGCCTTAATCATCGTAATGTGATCCTTTTCATTCGAGCCGGTCCAAAGTTCTGTTTGTAATATTTTTATGGCAATGTTTTCCGTCTCTTTAATACAGCCTTTCATTCTTCACGAGTCCAATGACAAACATTTAAGTTTTCCAAAATCCATAAGAATTGAACACTTTGGCAATAAGATATGCGTGAGGAAACTAGGCCTGAGAGCGCAGCGGAGATTTTATTTCCTCAAACTCCAGTTTTGTCAATATTTTCATCTCAGTCAAACGTTATTTCAAACTAAACCACAGTTCATCCTTGCCATATAAAAATCCACTTCAAATTGATTATGGAATGAGGCTGATGACCACAGCGGGCTTGTTTGCTACAGGTTGTTAAGTGCTACCCTCATAAAACAAAGCCAAATTTTACTATATTTTATCCATTCTCATACAAACGAATTACTTAAGTTACAACTCATCACCGGTTAAAAGACGGCTAATAAAGTTATCTGCAAAATGCATACTTATATCACAACGACTTTCAAAAGGAAACAGTGGCTCAGTTTTTCCGCGTCTTTGAATTATGCAGCGGTTGACCTTCGTTCAATGCAAATGACACACAATTTCAACTTTTGGGTTTTCTTTCAATATTATATTTTACAGCAATAGTATATTATTACTTCAACTAAGCACGAATTTTATTCCATTAAAACGCTACCAGACAGTCTTGGTTGCGGTACTAACAAGCCTACACGATCTTATCCTCAGTTATTATGCTCTCACTACCGACGATTCGCTTCTTGCTTCACACAAGCCTTCCCTTCTATTGTTCTTGGGCAAAGCATACACTTGAATTCTAGTTTACTCTCTTTTACAACAGATCAAGTTCAATAAGACTCTTCCTCTACTTTACTCTTTACATGTTCAACGTCCTTACGCTTTTCCTTAGTTTGGTTTACTCGCCGTCTATTAACATTCAAGTTCAGTTCTTTTTTTATGCTCACATACAAAGAAAATAGGGACCTAAAGGAAGGAAGGCGCCTTGATTGTCCCTATATCTTTTTAGTAAAAACAAATGTTTTGTCTAATGCATCTTCTCATATTAGATACCAGGGTTTAGGGCCTCTGAACCATCGTCAGCAAACATGACGCATGTGAAAGATGCCTTGAAAGATGCTCTGAATTGTAAAATTTTCTTGTAATCTGCTTTGTATTGTACCCTTTCTAGGTAGTTCTCTTATTCTTGTAGCATTTGCAATCAAAATTCACTCAATTTTAAATGCGTGTACACGCTTTGACAAAAATTACTCAAAATTTCGTTGTGGTATGTGCAGGGACCAGATTCAAGTAGGATACTCTCCCTACTTCACTGAGCTGTGTATACCAGCAGACTTAATCATCCAAGCGCAGGGACTAGATTTAAGTAGGATATCTTCCTACTTCACTGAGCTGTGTATACCAGCAGAGACTCAATCATCCAAGCTTGTTTGATGCTATGAAAACCTATACCTACGCTGTGTCGTCTATTTGTCCTGAAAACATTTGTAAATTTCTCTCGATTTATTTGCTTTTGCTTTCAATATTTTAAAATAACAGTAATTTACTGAAAAGTTTAGGAGTTACAATCCTCAAGTCATATTTAGGGCATAAAATCAACATATATAAATAGATATAATAGGATCTCAACGTGAAAAAAACAAACACCATGAAAGTAATGTCAAAAATTACAACCTCAATAAATGCGGACTAACAACACGAAAAGGAACTTGCAAGTCAAGTTTGAAGACTACCAATTAGAATCATAACAAACTAAAATTCTTAGCTGAAAGTCAGGAGCGGAAAGTCAGTTGCAGAGACAGGATATGGCATATTTCGTTTTCCTGTATTTTTGATTCATTTTTTGGTAGTCTTATTCCTGGACGAGATGCAACGCTAAATTGAAAATATTTAATGTAGTTTCCCTGTTGAGACATTTAGAGGAAATTATATTAATTTCATTTTCAGTGTTCAAGATTAATGTCATAAATCTGTCACTGATACAGGCAAAAAGCAAGCAGATCAAATAATGAACAGAAGATGGAGAATAGGAAAATGAAAATGATGATGTAACTTCAATGAACTAAAATGTCAAAAGCTGGTTTGTTAACATTGCATCTCAGAAACATGTTGATCAAGGTTGCGCGATACTTCACTACTCGATACTCCCAATTCAATAATCATGACACATATCTGAGTCCAAACGTCGCATTTTATAAACAGGTAACAAACAAAAAAACACATCATTTTACTCAGTTCTAATGAATGGCAAGTTTCAGTTTAAAAAAAAAAACTTCATTTGAAAAATGCTTCCAAAGCAGATTAAACCCTGAAAGAAAGTATCAGTTGAAAAATTTGGAGGTAGAAGTCTCCTTGAATAGCACAGAGGTTTTAAAGCTTTATGAGTTATTGTGTTTAAATCATTTTTTTCAAAAGCAATCTTCAGATTTATGAAAACTCTTTTAAAAAGATTTCTTTTTTATGGCCAAAGATGCCACTTGCATCCAACTGACGTGCAGCATGTCGAATTTAAGATTAGAGCTTTCTTCAGTGCATGAAAAACATACTTCTTTGGTCTGTCCTTAGCTGTGTTTTACTTGCTTTCTAAGGAGCAACATGCCAAATTAACGTACTTTCTTCAGTGCATGGGAACCGTTAGGAAAGATCTCTGGCCTGTGATAAGGTTTTGCTTGCTTCCTAATGTACAATATGTCATCAGCCATATATGCAGCAGCTTTTAATGGTGTGCCTTGAAGTTCCATTTGCTTTCAAATGTGTAAGATAAGATAGTTCTTTCTTTCTTTAGATAAACCCTTTGTGCATAGATAACAAATATTTTTGATCTGTACTTTCTGATGAGCCAATACATGCAAATCAAGGATAGTAAACACTTTCTTCACTGAGATAAACTAGCTCTTAAAGCATAGACAAGAGATGACTTTGGACTATGTTCAAAATTTACTTGACTCAAATCAGAACACCTATATAAAACTCTAATGCAATTGAAGGCAGATTTCTAAGTACTTACTGTTAAGACTACTTTCATTATAAAGATAACATTCAAATCAAGAACACCTATATGAAACTCTCATGCAGTTGAAGGCAGATTTCTAAGTACTTACTGTTAAGACTACTTTCATTATAACATGTTACAATCAAAACATCCAGTGTAAAGAAAGGATGGACTGCCTTCTTCCTTAGTATATCAATTTTGGAGGCTAGACTTTCAGAAAACTAAAACTTGATAAAACTCTTATCATCATTATTGAGATTCTGTTTGTACAAACTAAATGAAGCTAGCAAATTTGTGATGGAAAAGGCACATCTCAGAAGATTCCTTGAGATTTGATTTGAGAACTTTGATTTAAAACTAAACACCGAAGATGGAAAATTGGTGCAGGAGACAGTTTGTCGCTCAAAATCAGTAAAGAATTGTCATCATTTCTTTACATTACGTTATTTTCCACTCGTAGTTTACTCCAAAAACATCTTTACACCTGAAATTCAATGCAGCTAAATGGATAAATAGCAGAAAAGATTTGCATCCTGAATTCTGAAAAGGTTTCGTTGTGTTTTGAAAGCAAAAGTAACAGAAGACGCTGTGTACACACGTTTGAAGAATGGAAAGAACTGAAGACTTCTTATGCAACCAAACATTGATCCATACTAAATGATAACTATATTGCTGCTGTACTAGCTTTAATTTCCTTATATAAAGAAACCCAAGCCATTTGATATAGAAATGGCCAAAGTCGATAGTATATAGAACAAAGGTCTTACTTGAACGAGGCACAGCCCCTTTAGACAAGCCAGTTTGATGTTTGCAGGAATATCCTATTAATTAATAATCGCCCTTCAATTTTAAATAAACAACAAACACTAGTCCAGTTGCAATCTCTTTAAATGTAAGAGAGGCGAGTAAGTATAAAAAACACATTTGTTTTCTTGCAAAACCGTTTGGCCCGTTTTAAGAAGGCTTTCGGTAAAGTCAAGCAGTTACTGCAAACAGTTAATTATACAAGTTTACGCTATGCTCMCCCAAATCATACACTATCATTCGTTATTTTGCCTCGGAAAAAGGCGCCAACTGAAGAACAATGTAAAAAAAGTGAGATGAACAGAAGCAATTTCATCCAGAAAGGAGGTTGGGTAAAGTGCGAACGAAACTAGCAGGCCAGCCAGCCCCCATCAACAGACTCATCATAAATGAGCTAAAAGCACCCCCCTGCATCGTCATTCTTTTGAGACTAACAAACGCCTAAGTAGTCCAAACTTCAAGTAATGTCCTTCGAGAAGCAAATATCAAATATGTATAAGAATGGTGGTATTTTAATTTCCACATAAAATGAAGCCAAAACGATGTGCTGAGCACTGTAGGCTAGACTGATTTGAAGTATGACGTGTACCTGTGTATGTATATACAGATGAGCTAGACGATGGGAAGAATATTTGCATCTACTTACAATAGTTAGAAAACCTACGAAATGAAGGGTAAAACGAGGATAAAAACGTAAGCATGTAGGAAACATGTTGATGAAAATTCTGTAACGATTTTGCGAAAGCAATGCCTGGTAGTGTACTTTGCTGAGAGTTCAGTCCAGTATCATTTGGCAAAACCTTTTGTCTTTTCGTTCAATATAAACAAGCCATACTAAGAACTACTATTATAAAAATTATTTGAAACAAAAAAAAAAAAAAACTCTTACGTTTTTCTTCACGATGCAGTATGAATATTTACAAATGAAAGCTGATCATTTCTCATAAATCACTTTAAAGGGGAACTTGCATAAAAAGCTTCATCTGTGTCAAGGTGTCTCAATTTTAACCCTGCCGCCTCTTAAGACGCTATAGATTATGTTGAGTTACCCAGAATCTATAAAAATATACAGGCTGTGGTTCTAATAAAATAAATCTACCATTTCATACCATATATTTAATCTTACTTTACTCAGCAGTGGCTAGAGAGAACAGTGAGATGAAGTCTATAGTATAAGCAAGTATGGATGTACCTGTCTTTGTACTCACAATTCAGTAAGGCTCAATCATAATTATTATATTTTCATAAAGTTTATAACAAATAAAGGAATAACGTAAATGTATAATTTGTGATATTTACCTTTGGCTATGAATTGGCTTCCAACATCAGGGGCACGTAGCTCATCGTAGTATCCTTGACCACTGTTTGCCATTAAGTGGAAACTCGATGTTGATATACTTGGTTCGTGTACACTTCTTGTTGTGTTATTGTGTTGTGCTGTTGTCACGTCAATATGAAATGGGTTGCTGGTACAATGATCACTATCATTATTTACCATTAAACAATTATTGCCATCCAACTCGTACCCATTCAAATCCGAACATTGCTGCTGTTTTCTGTGTTTTGATAAACTAGCTTCACACAAGTTTGTTTCCATTGCTTTAAAACGCTTGATATCGCGTGATGCACTGACTTTAAGTAGTTAATATCACAACGGTCACTAATTTACAGAAAACGATCACAGAGAAAAAAGTATGTCTTTTTGCTCTTCTTATATAAAAGCTAAGGGGTCAGTGTCCTTGTCCAAAGTCGTCCATGTCTACTAACCGCTTCACAACGGAGCTTGTTATTTCCATCACTGTTCAGCACATTTTGATAGCAAATATCTTTTTCTACTAGTCTTACCTCAAGATTATGAAATTTCAATTTAACTTGGTGTAGCAGTTTTTCCTGACGGCCAAGATACGTAAAGAAAAATGTTTACATCATGAGAAATCAGAAATTAGCTGATCTTGTGAAGATCTTGTGAACGGTACGTTAACCTTCTACAAGCACAAATCCGTATGATAGTCAGAATCCGATGTTTACAAGATGACGTATGAATGGTTTGTACTTAGCACTKTTCTTGTAGCGTCTAACCGTGGTAAATATTGTTGGGCACCCTCTTACAAGTAGCTGCTCAAGTGACATCGGCGTGACTTTTAAGAGATTTGTTATTCTCACTACGTAAAACAATTATGCAGCCGTAACATCAATTCTTGGAAATGCAGATTCTGAGAAAAACGATCCTATTGAGAGTAACAATTTGAACTTCCTGCTCGAGTGCTTTCGCGGGTACAAAATCGTACAAGCTTTTCATTCCTTCCTTTCTCATAACTTTAAACTTTAAATTTAGTTTGGTTAAGTTGACTTTAGATATCTTCTTCTACGTTGTAGTTGTAGTTTCTCCAAGGCCATATTTTGGGAATTGTTGTTGAACGCATATGCAAATTAAAGAACTTGACCTAAACGCAACCTCATTCTATGTTTAGCTCGCGAACCACTAAATATTACGTAATAACTGAAAAAAATCGATTTATTTGCGCGTGAAAGATATTCTAAAATGTTCAAAGGACAAAGTACCTTTAATTAAGGGTCACTTAAAGCTAAAAATGCCTCCCAAAAACAGGTAAAATTGAGCAAACATCTTGGACGGGGGGCTTCATTTCTTGGAAAACCCGGAAGTAAATACTTGAATATCCGGTCGAGGTCGAGAGGGCTTTGGTTTTACGTAGGTGCACCCAAGTGGAACTAAATCCCACGTGGTAGCATGGCTAGGACAGGAAGTCGTTCATTGTCACAAACAATATGTTTATAAATACAGCATAGAAGCTGCAATTGTATTGGTTGGTAGATGTTTCTGGTACATCGGTAAAAACCAATCACGGAGATAATTTCTAGTGTTGATATGATAATAATGTATCTTGTTAATCGATACTGTTAATACTACCGTGCGATCTTTTGTAGCATGAGATTTGTGTTGTTAGAGCAGACGTTACCGAGTTATTGTCATTTCACTTGAGTTTCACTTAGAAGTCGTATCTATTCGTAGGCGCCAAGTCAAACAAATAGATCTGCATCTCTTTCAGAAGAGAAAAACTGGGGGAAACAGAGAAAAAATTCTTTCCATTAAAGTTGTCCTTCATGCACACCAAAAACATCACTCTCATATGCGGATATAATCACATTAAAGAACCTTTAGTATATACTCTGGAAACACTAGACGGGGGCACGCACTGAGTTAATGGCCAAGTGAACAGTATTTCTTACAAATACCCGCACATAAAAATAATGGTGAGTCGATATATCATAAAATCTGTAATTTCTCAGTATGTTGCGTGACTTATAATTATCGCTGTTACATTGCTGTCACGTGCGTTACAGTTCATGTAAGTACGCTTTGAAGGCGCTATAAGGAATTAGATATCCCAAAAATTACTTGAAAATGTTGACGAATGCTTTTGAAGGTTCTCAGGGTTTTTTTCTTTTTCTTTTTCTTCTATGTCATGGAGGGAGAGGGCTGCAGTTGGGAATTGCCCATAATGCTAAGACAGCCACTTTAAGGTAAAAATCTTTATATGTACCAAGGATTTGGTATTTTAATCAACGTAAAGCTTAGGTGGTGCGTAGGAGTGAAGTTTTCCCAAATGTGTTCGTTCATCCATTCATATATTTTTTACCATTCATTCATTCAGCGTTCGTTCCTTATTTCTATCCTTCATTCTTTCTTTTTAACATCATTCWTTTATTCTTCTTTATACTATCGATTCATTGTTCGTTCTTTCGATTATTCTTTCTATCATTTGTTCATTCTTTCTTTCATCATTCTTTTATTCATATTTTCTATCAATCATTCTTTCTTTTTCCTACAATACATTTAAGTGTTTATTCGTTATTTCGTTCATTTTTCCTATCATTTATTCACTCGTTTTTCTACCATTCGTTTCAGTCATTCATTCCTTCTTTCTATCATTCATTCTTGTTTTAGAACATTCGTTCTTTCTTTTTTCTATAATTCATTCATTCTATTTTCTACCATTTCTTCGTTCGTTCTTTTTCTCATTCTACCTATCATTTGTTCTTCCTTTTTTCTATAATTCACTATCCCCTTTATTTCTTCGTTCATTCTTTTGCTCGTTCTGCCAATCATTTGTTAATTATTTTGTCTACCAATTACTCTTTTACTCATCACTTCGGCCCTTCTTTCTATAATTCATTCATTCCTTCAGTCTTTTTGGGCCATTCAATCATTCTTTTTTTATCATTCCTCCATTAAATTGTTCTTTCTTTCTTTCTTTCTTTCTTTCTTTCTTTCTTTTATTCTTCTCATCATTCATGTGTTGTTTTTCCACCATTTGTTTATTCATTCATTTGTCCTTTCGTTTGTTCGTTCTCAGTTTAATCGTGGGTTTATTAACGTTCTTTTTTAAAAACACAAGCAATCCATCGCCATCCCCACTAACAAACAAGTACTCCACCGAGGTATGTACAGTGATTTCATTTAACCCGTGAAAGAAAAATGACTATTTAGTTAGTACTAGTTGAAAAAAATAAAATAAAATAAAATAAATAAATGAACAAAACCTACAAACAAACAAAAATAAATAATAATAATAATAATAATAATAATAATAATAATAAAAACAATGGGTGTATAGTCCACCACTAACTAGTGTGCGTACTATTTTTTCACGGATTAAATGTGAAATCATTCTACATCATATTGGTTTAGAATTTCGTACCTGAATTTTGAAACAAGTCTTTTACCTTTTGTTGAGTTCCTGTAATCAAATAATTCACGGACGTATATTAAAATTATATAAAAAAGAATATAACTGTTGGGTTGTACAAATTATTTAAACAAAACTATTTTCCATAAAAGAACATAACATGGACAGACTGACAAAATCCTCACAAACAAAAGTCTGAAATGATGTGATGATATTAGAGCAGTTTTCGTATGACCGTGAAAAGTCCACGGCACGAACACGATCGTGACACGGCAAGGGATACGCCAGACCAATCACATTGCACGAGAACTTACTCTCCATCCAATCAAATGCCCAGAACACGRCATGAACACGGCGTGGACACGGTCACGTCAAAGTCTCGGAACTGCCAGACCAATCACATTGCACGTGAAAAAAAATCAGCCAATTAAAAATCTAGAAAGCATCACGGTCACGGCACGTCACGCTTACGGCACTGAGCTTTTCAGTCATACGAAAACTGCTCTATGGTCTCTACTACACAATTCCGCAAAGCAGAATCTGCGTATGCTGTCTAAAAGTCATCCTTCCTGAGAACGATTAACTACAACCCCCACATCCACCACGATCATAAAAATCCCACATAAATAGTGGTTTAGAAATTAGTCCAACTATAAAAATATTGTCTTGCTTCTTGTCTGGCCATCTGCCAAATAGACCCTTCAAATTAAAAAAAAAMCATAAATAATTGGACTGGACGTCGGTTGACTGGATCTTGCATTGCAAAAAAATTTCGTCCAAATTTCAGCTTTTGGGAGGGTATGGATAATTTTGATGTATAGTAAAAATATGTACAACCTCTAAAATCTTATTCATGCTTCTAAATTAGGAATTTTAAGAGTTTCTTCATTTTGGAAAATCAGAAATCGCACATGGATGGACTGAACTGGACTTCAGTTACTGGATCGTCGGATCGGGAGAAATTTTACTTCGAATATGCAACTTTTATCCTGTAATTTTCATTTAAATATTACAAACTAGTAATTTTATGCTGAAATTTTGCAAAAAAGGAATTAAATTTGTTGTCATAATTTAAATTTTTATTTTACTGGTGCAAACTATGAAACTGGGGCCACTAAGACAGTGAGAACCAATCAAAATGTAGAATGAAAGCAATGCATTCCAGCTTTTTGGGTAGTGGGGCCATTCAGAAGGCAGCAGAACACATTAGCCTTTACACATATCTTTTTATTGTCAAAAAAATGACGTTGGCTATCTTTGGAAGCTTGTTGGCTGGTATGAGCAACTGGCTTGCCCAGAACGGCGGTCGTTTGGGTTGATCACTTTATTTAATATATTTAAGCTGTATTAATATAATTAAGAAATATTATACAGTTTCCTGCTTTAGATACTTTGAACTAAACATGGTGGATGCTGAGAGAACACAATAGAAGCATAGAAAACCATGAGACATAGCAAAATGGTTTCCAGCTTCTCAAGTATTCTCTTGGCATTCCAAGTTTCCAAAATTGGAAAAAAATGATGTAACCAATCACAGTACACGAAAGAGGTTATTTTTAAATTATCATTATTATTATTACTGGATATAATTATTAATTATTATATTCATTATTATTGATTATTTTCGCATACCCTGATTGGAATAATTACAAACATCTTTTGTCACTCTGTAATTTTCACTTTTCTGACCAGCATATAGTAGCTTCTACAGCAGGATGTGGGGGATTGGGGGCTAAATTTGGGGGTGATTTTTTTAAAACTTTTGTACCTTTTATACATATTATATAGACATCCATTGAAAATTTAACTTTGACGCTGTAGTGGCCATCTTGAATCACAAGGCATTGTGGGTCATTCAGGGGCCAAATAAACAAAGCTTTATTACAATAATGGCATTCATAACAAGAAATTAAATTTGACAACAGATGAATTTGTTAAAAAAATCACAGTACTACAACTGATGAAATTTCTCAAATAAAGTGTGGTTTGCATTTCAGTATATTTGTTTTTTCTTGCCCCCTGGGCACCCATAATGCCTTGTGATGGGGTGTCTATATAATTTCTAAATTCAGTATTAATATGTATACTTACAGTCTTAATTTCATCGGGAAACTCTGTTATATTTTTCTTCACACATGGAATGCAAAACCTCTTTGTGTAGAATATACTACAGTTCTGTAAGGAAAATTATTGACACAGTGAGCCTGAAGGCTTATTCCAGTCACACCAGTGGACCTTTGTTCACCAATCAAGAGTGACATAGCAGTAATCTCACTTGCCTCTCATCAATATATTTCATGGGCATTTCCAGGACTTAGCATAACTTGAGTAGACTCTCTGTTTTCTTAGGTCTTTCTTTTGATTTGAGGGTTTTTGTTAACAAGTTGTTTGCTTATATTAATAGAGGTATTTCAAATAGGCAGAATGCAGTACTCAGAGCAGTAAAAGCTTTAAYATTTTGGTGTAGCCTTCCTAAGTCAGAATGTGTGAAGTCTGCACAAGTCACGTCATGTGACAAGTGGTCATAGACCACAGGCAGTTCCAGTCCCATCTCTATTCATTGATGACGAGAGTTGCTTGATGAATACTCTAATACCTCCTTTATTTTTCTCTTCAGATAGTCATTCTCGTGACTTCACACATCCTGACTAAGGACGGCTGTGTAATACAGCCAAAATATTCCATCTCATAGATTTCTCTGCTCAGAGTACGGAATAGACCCCTTCACAGTTCCCTGCACCATTTTGATAAAGGTAGTCGTACCTTTGTATTAAAGTGAGACGAATGGTGAGCTTGCAATGAGAAACATGTGAATAATTGAATTGTCCAAGGTGTTAAAAAGGTCTCTACAGTGTATCATTGCAAGTCATCATTCATCTCGCTTCAGTGCAAAGGGATGGCTACCTTTCAAAATGACACAGGGAACTGCAAAAGGGACTATAATTCTTAATATTTCAAATGTGAATCCAGAGCATGAGAACAGTGTTTTTCAATGTAATAAGGGTATAATCACCTGTCCCACACAAACATCAGCAGAACACAGTGTACAATTTGATCCTATTGTAAGATGACTCTGTGTGGGAGAAAAAGGGTCTTGAATCAAATAGGCATCTTCTAACAATCTATTAAATAAAAAAAGACATTACAAAGAAATTTTAAAACATTTTGACATTTAAAAACAAAAAAAAAATTCTCATCACTACCAACACCACTATACAGTAAAACCTGCGATGGAAGCACTCAACCTCTACAGTATGTAGCAGGCAGTTAATATCAAAGTCCCAAAGAGGGTTGTCTGCAGTAATGAGGCCCTATGGGTGGGGGGGGGGTTGTACAGCTGTTCCCATGCCTTCCGTCTGTACTACACAGCTGCCTATATCACAACTTCCAAGCATCCTTGTGCCACTCGCGTGAATTTTACCCCTAAAAAACAGTCTTTCATTGGTCACTTGTCCCTCATTGGATTTACCCCTAACAGGACCTCAGTAAATTATTTATACTTCTATTTAAATGGCCACTTGACAATTCCATATTTAAAATGTTCACTTAATAGAGGTTCTACTGTGTAGCTAGTGTGCATGATAGAAAACAGTCGGGATGTCACGAACAGGAATTTTGAGTAAATGTATGACATATCAAGGGGAGAGGTTAAGTTGCAGTTTTTTCAAACATTATTCTTCAACCATTTCGCCTCTCCTGTTGCATACTTCCCTTAACAAGACAATACTCTCTGTCGACTACAATAGAGGGACCATCTCCCTTTCCTACGAGTTATATTACTGCCATTCTCACTTATCATCGTGTCTTTGAGCATAAATCAATCCATAATGAATAATCTAGTCTTGATTTTGAGTTCGAGAATATTTGATTTTCCCGCGTGTGGTTTGAAAAACAAGTTCTGTATTGTGTAAGAAATTAGTAAACAAAGCAGTAAAACTTACACTATTGACTTGCTAAATGGTGGATTTCTTCCATAGTAGTCATAACGAGAGGTAAAATCACAGAGAGAGCATTTAAATGTAGTTTTTTCAGTGTTCTTTCTGTCCTCCATGTTCTTCTGGTTCATATAAAATGAAATGAGCCTGCAATCCTATTAAAAGCGGTATTTCTTTAAAAAGTAAAACATGGCCCGCGGTTTTTTATTTTTCTTCCCTTTTTTATCCTTTCAAATAACGTTTAAAAAATGTCTTCCTAAAATTAATGAGGGAAAAAATACATGCAATATGATATATCAATTCTTCAATTATTTTTTATTAATTAATGAAAAATAACCGGAGACCATACTCCCAGACCCGAATGCTGAAGCGTCGTATGGTAGCTCGAAGCATTTACGGCTACGCCAGAGATTTCGACCCCGACACCGCTATCCCGGGAGGAATTACAGACTGATCAGGAAGCTCGGCCAAAGCCTGAGGGAGAGGTTAGTCGGCCCCTAGACCGTATATGATTAACCCCTTGCTATGACCAGCATACCTGATATGATGATTTTGTCGCTGATCGCCTAGCACCAATTGTCACTCCTTTCCATGTGGGATGCGTTTTGAAAAAAGTACAGGCTAAAATATTTTATACGCAGAATCAGTACATGAGGTCTCATAAAGCACTTTGACAGTGGGCATTTTTCCAACATTTACTGAATATATGGGTATTTGCTATTAAAAATTATACAGTCCAAAATAGGAACCGAATATGATCGAAAAATGATACGATTTTCTGTTCAAATTTGAAAGCCAAGTCCGACCAGTTGATTTCAAGGGAAAATATAAAAACAGCGATCACGTGACCCTTTTAACTTATACTGCAACATACTGGGCATTTAGGCCCTGCTACACGTCGAAACTTTAAACTGAAACTTGTATGCAACGGAGTTGTGAGACAAGTTTCACGGCGCAATTTGAAACTTTCTGAAACTTTCGTCGCGAGAAAGTTCCACGAAAAGTAGAACCGCTTTCTACTCGTGCAACCGAAACTTGTGTCGGGTCGGGAACAAGTTTCAGGACGAAATTGCACCGTGTAACAACCCCGTGAAACTTGTCTCGCAACGCCATTGAAAACAAGTTTCAGCTAAACTTTTCAACGTGTAAGGGACAAGGTCAAAACAATGGTCCAAAATAGTGACCCAATTTAATGAATTAAGGTGGTGGGTACTGGTACATACCCCCTCCCCCCTCAGAGACCTCTTCAAATGCTCGATACTGGGGGTCTGTAGTGGCAATTTCTATACRCAAGTATGTTTTTTAGCATACATGCAGACAGACAGTCCATTCATTTCTGTTATTTGGATTTTAGTTTTGGAGATATTTAGAGACAAAATCTAAGATATTGTTTGGCCCTCATCCCTAACAGGATCTTTACCCTCTAAAAAACACAAATCTTCCTTTGAATAGCATATATGCGATAGTTAACACTGCTCATTGATATCAGCAAAGCTGTAATATCTATATATTGTCTAAATAGATAAATATTGTTATCAAATATCATTACATACAAAAATAACAGACTTTGTTGTAAAAATAATATTTTATATCAGTTTTGCATGACAAATTATACAACCAGGTTAAGAAAAGGTCATTAAAATAACTCCGATTCTTTTTCTGGTTTTTGACTATTCTTCTTCTTCTTCTTTTTCTTTTTTCTTTTTTTTTTTTCTTTTCATTATTTTACTTTTACTTTCAACGCATGCTGCTTTCCTCATGAATCTCTTCTCATAACAATATTTCTTTTCGTTATTAAAAGCTATCACTACAGGAATCTTCATCATCATCTCCACCACCTGAAAATGCGGAAAAATTAGAAAAATGAAAAAAAGTATCTTTAATTCTCCTCTTCTGTGGCAGAGAATTTTAGGAGTGGTAGTTTATTTTCGTGTAACATGCAAGTAATTTGGGGTAAGTGTGTGAGAATAGTTTTACGTCCTTACCAGAATCATGACTGACTACACTCTCAGCTTCATTTTTCTCGTCCTGAAAAAAATCAATTCAACATTTGATTATCGATTTTGAGTTTGTTAAGTTTTCATAAAGACCTTTTCAAGCCTATTCGTTTTTCAGTGGATAGAAAAAAAAGAGGATTTATACGATTTGAACTTGATAAAATTAGGTCGTCTAACAAATATCAATTTTGGTGTAGTATCACAAACCTCGTCATCATCATCATCTTCGTCATTATCATTAACCACTTCCATTTCTTGATCTTCGTTCTGTTTGTCATCATCATCATCATTGTCGTTATCTTCATCCCCTCGAGTTGACTGCTGGGATAGGATCTCTTGCCCTTGAATGTCTCGGTTCTTTAAATTCCCCATCCAGAATGCTTCATGACACTGGTTCACTGTAAGCATAACCTGGAATGACGCCAAATAATGAGTCGAAATGCAAAACTATCCTGTTATTAATTATACTTTATTCTTTTGTCTGAGGTCCACCCTGAAACAACCTCCCCTTCCCTCCCCTCCCCCTACCCCTACCTCCCCGCACTTCCAAATTTTTGTGATTCGAAAATAAATAAATAAATAGAGCCATGTAGGATGGGTAATCAATGTCACCTTGACTCGGAACACAAATAACTCCAAGCATTTCTTGACTGCGGGAACATGGTTGGTTAGCGCGATGTCTTTAAAAACCTGAAAGAAAGGGGGGAATGAAAAAGAGAACCAGAAAATACAAGATACTAACCTGTGTAGTAAAGAAACTTTGTGAGTAAAACAGGGAAAAAAATCTTACCTTTGTGTGGCCACAGAAATGTTGCAGACATCTTGTRCTTTGTTGTAGGTTTTTCAAAAGCCCATGAACTACATCCTGTAAAAAAMAACAACAAAGGAACACTATAAGTAAACGTACACCATAGCCCGCCTTACACTCGTTTCTTTACTGCATGGTTCATTTCATTTTCCTCTCCTTTCCTTTGCTACTGCTCTCTTTTTTCTCCTCCCTTTTCTGCTCCTCCCGTCTCTTTCCTCTCCTCCCTTTTCTCCTCTCCTCGTCTCTTTCCTCTCCTCCCTTTTCTGCTCTCCTCGTCTCTTTTCTCTCCTCCCTTTTCTGCTCTCCTCGTCTCTTTTCTCTCCTCCCTTTTCTGCTCTCCTCGT